TTCTATATTCTTTCCTAATTTTATCTTTATAATTTTTTTAAACTATTATAAAAAAATTCTCGTAGTTATATGAGATTAGTAGAAATTTTTTTTTTTACTATTTGGTTAGTTGTTTGACAATTATTTTGTTCGTTTCTATTTTGGTTAGTTGCTTGACAATTATTTTATTCGTTTTCTATTTTTAATACTTTGTCTTAATTAATTGTAAGTTTTGACACATATCATCATCAAATCAAATATTGGACACATGTCACGATCTCCTGAATAAAAATTTTGGTTACGTGTCGTATTCTCATCGTGCACCTTCTCCTTTATATATATTTTTATTTAATATAAAAACGAAATACTTTCTTTGATTTTATCTAGCCTTTGTATTCCTCCTTCCCATAGGTTGGGCCCCTACTTACCACTAATCTTGCCTTATCGTTGGAGCATTATAAATATATTACTGATAGGACTTATGAATTTAAAGATTGTCACTTGCACACAGAATTGATCCTTAGTATTTAGTAAAAGATCAATAATTTGTGCACCTCCAAGTTGTTGGCACCACTGCCAGTGAAGGAATAGCTATTTAGACTTTAGTTTTGATTAAGACGAGATTTTAGTTTAATTTTAGCATTCTTCTTTTCTAAAATCTCCAAATCAAAAAATATTGAGAATTATAAAAATTTGATAGTTTATTTATTTTCTTGTCTCTTATCTAGAGCTGGTTCTGGGCCAAGGATAATGAGGGTTGGGCCTAGGGATACAAAAAAAAATTGATTTTTCAGCATTGCAAATAGGCCTCCCATTTTCTTTTTTTTTTGAAAAGAGAGGCCCCCAAATTTTTCTAAATCTTAATAATTACTCTAATTTTTATAAATTTCTTTAAAAAACTCAAACTTTTTTTTTGTCTTGCGCCCCAAAATTTCAGGACTGATCTGCTCTTATCTTTCATGAAATCTAAAAATTCATAAAACTAACCAACTTGTATGAAGTGCTTCTCTCTTTGATTTGAAGTTGAGAATTGCTAAAAAACAACCTCTTAAATTCAAACCCAAAATTCATAGAGATGAAAGAGAGAATTCAAAGCTAAGGAAGCAAAAGAAGGCACACGAGAAACAAAGAATGGAAGGGGATAACAATTCCCCTCAAGATCAAAATGTCGCAGAAGGCGTCAGTGTCGAGAGAATGAACCCATGAAGTACACAATTTATGCTAAAAAACAACCACAAGTGATTGGTACTTATGGACGAAGTTTATGCTAAAAAACAACCACGTG